AATCTTCACACCATCAATTTTGTCGACATCAATGAAATTCTCACAAAACCTGCAAGGCTGTAACACCATTATTACAAGTCTATCGAATATTTATCAATAAAAAATTATTCATCATAAAGTCAGTCCATCGTAAACTTTACTATTTTCCAAAATTTGGGGGAGCCTGCAAAATAAAGTCAGTCCATCGTAAACTTCTTTCCATGATAGTCTTATCAAACCAAAATTCAGCTCAATATTTACAATTGAAACAAAGAAAAACTAATTCAATTTGCAAAAGGACTATAAAATTATAAAGTGCAAGATTTCATAACAAGCGTAACTCGCCGATGAAGTACAAATGAGATATTAGTTACAGAGATATAAAGCTTCATATTAACAAGTTCAATTTATTGCATTGTAACCTGACCAATGTGGATTCTCGTAAGGCTTGCATTTCTCATAAATAGTGATAGTTTTATGTTATTAATCCAAACAAGACAAAGATCTCAAGTCCACTATAAATTGTTTGTTGCGAGCATAAATTCCACAAAGATCTTTTTCGATAGCAAGCTTAAGAAAAACCAAATATCACCACCTGTCGAGCACAATCGAAATCAACTCAAATTTCACACAAATAGCCATCTACACATGTAAATAATGAAAATTTTGCATTATAATTTATGTTTAAACGAATTCAAAAACCTATTTATATACAAAAAGGCCATGCCTGCAAGGAATTCAAAGACAACTCTATCACTTTTCTTTTGGATCCAATTAAAAAACTTAAAGTATCAATTCAAGGAAGTATCTTGTTATTCTCAAAAGACATAAACCACCATCTTCTCTACATATGAAAACCTCAAACATAAACTAAATAAAGCAAGAAGAGAATTAGAAAGTAAACAACATTGAAGACAAAATGTAAATTAGTTCTCTTGAGTTTTCTACTGTTTGTCTCCCTATACCTATACACTTGAAGCATTCTTGAACATACTTATCTTTCAATTACTCTTTTTACTAAAAACATTGAAGGGGAGGATCTCTGTCATAAATTGGCATATAAATGCCAGAAACATGCACAAAATTGATGGGTGAACAAGTTATAATATGGACGCACATCATAACATGTATTAACTAACCTGATAATGCAAACATATTTTAGGAAGAAGGCGTTCAAGCTTGTCGTCTAAACCAAGTCGTAAGCTATCCGATTGAGCAAGCCCCGTCCACTTGTCGACAATTCGTATGCAACAACTCATTTCAACATTTATAGAACACAAAAATGTTGGAACGGAGTTAGATTTTTTCCCAAAAAAAAAGCAAAATAAAAAAATTAAGTAATCTATAAAATCGAAGTGACGCAAACCTTGTGCAACTCCGATGAAGAGCTTCAAGAAATATATAACGGACTTCTTCAATCAGCAGGGGAAAAAAGGGGAAACATAAATGATTTTTTTCTTATGTTAATCGAAGGAGAACAGAAGAAACCGAAATGTGTAGAGAGATGAACGGCCAAGGCTGCTAGGGAAGATGAGGTTTGGTGGAAAAATTGTAATATATACGCGGTACAAGTGTAATAACGGAAGAATATTGAGGGCTTAAAGGTCAAAAATCAGGTGGGCATGTAGGGGAACGGATGGGATTGTGGGATCTCACCTCACACGGTCGGCTCTACGATCCATCAATTAGCGGATCGTAACCTGGGCCCAAGATCCATCCCCGGTCCGTTTAAATGAACCAAAGTTGAGATCCGGGTAGATTAGAAGATCCATCCGGCCCAATCCATTCAACCAAAATAGGCCTTAAAATCCACAACAAAAATATCGAAATTCACTAAAATAATTAACGTAATCTACTATCAAATTAACCTAGCCCCACACCAATAATTGCTTTTTGAAAGAGAAAAAAGTTCACTAGAAATTGACGCAATTCACTACAAAATTAATGTAATCCACTATAAACACCATTGAAATAATTGAACCACTCAACTCTCAAGTGTCACCAAAGCAATCTACAATGACTACAAAAATTAAAGTTATTAACTATTGAAAACTCAAAAAAATTAAAGTAATTCTCTACAAAATTAACCTAATCCATTATGAAAATAACTACAAAAACATCGAAAATATTTATGAAAAATTATCAACCCCCATATCACCAAATACTCAAATCCTATTTTTCCACCAAATTTTTTGGTAAAGGAATTTTCATCTCCCACCAATCTACCATTTTCCTATTTTTCCACCAAATACTACATGTAGAGGTGTAAATAGGATTTTGTGTAATTAACACCATTTTATTAAGTACATATAAAATGACGATTTTAACTAATTGCACATGATTACCAACTTATTAGCATATTTATCGTAAATACATTGGTATTAATTATTAAATTAGTTTGTAAAATATAATTACATTTGTTATTATTAATAAAAACATTAATTCTAATAATATAAATATGTAATGGTATTTTTCCTAAATGGTCAACTTTAATACAAGCCATTAGTGTACCCAAATTTGCCGAAGAAAAATATTATGTACAAATACATGAATCGTATCGCAAAGATGTGGAACGGATATTTGGAGTTCTTCAAGCTCGATTTGCAATTATTAGAGGAGCGGCTCGACTCTGGAAGAAAGAAGACTTGCATGAAGTCATGTTTGCATGCATTATTATCAAGGTTGTAAAAAGTGGTAATCGGGTCCGAGTCGGTCAGGCACCGACTTACGATTAATCGGTGATAAATCGGAAATAAATCGATTTTTAAAACTTAATATAATATATTTCTAAATATTATTTAGAAATACTCCAAACATATATAAAAATATATTTAAACATAGTTATATCTCCATCATGTATATATCCTAAATCCTAATAACATAATAAAAGTTTAATAATCAAAAGATCATAATACATAAATATCCTTATAAAATATAAATAAAAAAAAAATCGAATTTACATTTGTTCTTGAACATTCCTGGCATACATCATTAGTTCTTTAACAATAACAAACAACATAAAAAAAATAAGGCATCAACTCATATTTTCTTTTATTAAAATCCAACTTTTATTATGAATTATAAAAAGAAAAAAAAAACCGATTTTTAACCGATTTTTGCCATCGAGTTTGACCCGCCTTAAAGTTTTGACCATCTTAGACTGCCTCGGACCGCCTCAGACCACCTAAAACCGCCTCACAGGCGAAAAACCGATTTTTCAAACATGTACACTAAAATCGTAAAGGTTTTGGACCGCCTCCGCCTCAAAGACCGATTAATCGGCCGCCTCGGCCGATTTTTAGAACACTGATTACTATGCACAATATTATATTTTTTATGATGCTCAATCTCCCACAAACTTTGACTATGAAAGTTCGTCCTCTATCCCGCCTGTTGAGCTTTTGAGAAATTTTAATAATGCGGCATATGTTCGTTTTCTTGATCGACATCGAGAACATCAAAATCTAATAAATCAAGGAAAATACAATGAATTAAGAAGGACATTGGTAGCACACTTGTGGGATAAACGTGCTCAAATCAATGATGTTGAAGATTATGATGTTGATGATGATAATAATGATGGTGAATGAGACTTTTTTTTATGATTTCAAATTAATTTTTGTTGTAATATTTTATTTATGCAATAATTTATGAGATTATTGTTATGTATGATTTTATTATATTTAAAATAATTTGAGCTTATGTTATTTCATGTTTAGATAGTTTTTTAAAATTGATAACATAATTTTAGTATTATATAGTTAAGAATTTTTTTTACTTATAATTGGATCTATAATTAATATTTAGGAAATAAAATTTCGATTAACATTAGATTTACAGTTTTGGGGCATATATGGTGAAATGTCATCGGAGACCAAACCAAATCCCATTTCCAATAAGTGGTGAAATGGTAAAATATTATTATTTTAATATTTGGTCTAAATTTTGGTGAAATACATTGGAAACCAAAAACACCGTTTTTCCACAAAAAATGGTGAAAGAGTAAACTGGTGTGCTACCAGTGCGATGTGAACCCATTTTTTTACCACCATAAATGGGATTGGTGAAAAAAGTGGTTCCCGGTCGGAGATCATCTCCAACTGTTTGTTGAATGTGTAAGAGCATCTCCGATGGGTCAGTATATCACCATTTTTTCATCTAATTTAGTTGTTTCTAGCCTCCCTGCCCAAAATTACTGTATCACCATTACACCTAAAATAATGGAGATTTGACTTTAGCCTCCTATCGTGGTCAACACCCATATCACCATATATCCAAATTCTATTTTTCCGCCAAATTGTTTAGTGAAGGTTTTTTTCATCTCCCACCAATCCAACATTTTACTATTTTTTCCACCAAATCCTATTTTTCTTACCAAATATAGAGGTGAAAATAGGATTTGGTGTACTATAGATGATGATTTTAATTAATTGCACCGACATATTAGCATATTTATTATTAATATATTAGTGTTAATAACTAAATTAGCTTCTAAAATATAAATACATATTTGTCATTACATCAAAAAATCGAAGCTCAACCCTTCTTCAACCTTGATTTCGAATTTTCGATTTTTTTTTTGGCTATTTGCAGTTTTGGGGGGTTTTTTGATATTTATAAAAGTTTTGGGGGGTTTTGTTATAAACCGCGAATAGCAATTTTGTGACCGCAAATAGCATTTCCGTATTATTTTGGTTGCACTTTGCCCCATAAGCCATTTTTTTATGGGCATTGTGCAACAAAAATAACATTTTAATGGGGCAATGTGCAAAGAATAATGTTTTAAAGGGGTAGTCGCAACAAAAATAATATATAAAGGGGCAATCTGCAACAAAAATACTCAAATGTCGATGAATAATCCATCGAAATTTCGCTATCGGGGCAAAATGCAACAAGAATAACATTTTGAAGGGGGACATTCACTTTAAAAAAAATTAGGGGGTAAAGTGAAAAAATAGAATTTTTTATGGGGTGATGTGGAATTTGCCCTAAAATCTAATTAGTAATACTAATAAAAGTTACTATTTATGGCCTCTAGCAATAAAATATGCAGAATTCCATGTTTCTTCTAATTTGGAGAAATCTGAAATCTTCAAATCATGCTTGTAACGAGTATCGACATTATCCAAAGATAAGCATTCATCGGCCGCTTGTCTTTCGATAGCGAAAACCTCAGCACCAAACACACACCTATCATTAACTAGGTATCCGTTTGATGGATCAGACAGAATTTCCTTCGATATAAATTTTGAAAGGCCCCATTCAAATTTCATTGTTTGGAAACGTCTTGTTATTCCTGCCAAATAATATTATAAATAAATAAAAAAAGTAGTCATGGACAATTTAAAGAAACTACTCTATAGGACTAAAACAAACTAATTAACACGAAAAATAAAAAAAGAAGAAACTAAAAGAAAGATAAAGATAAGGGGAAATTACAATTTTCATCCCTCTTGTTTGCACCGATTTCACATTTGGTCCATCATGTTCATAAAAAACACATTTGGTCCATCAAGTTTCAATAGCTTAACACTTTTAGTGGCACACACTTGATTCCGTTAGTAGTAAAGGAAAATTGACGGAAATGACTAAAAGTGTTTATTTGTTTTTTAAATATGAAGAATCAAATGTGTATTTTTGTGCACGAGGGACCAAAATACAAAATCGGTGCAAACATGACGGTGCAAACTGTACTTTTCCCATAAAAAATAATATATACCTGGCGAATAAAGGTAATGGCCGGAAATCTGATTAAAGAGAAAGATGTTGAAGACAACATTGACTTCCCAATTTGTAGGCAGAGAGCTTGTGTCCGTCATAGCCAAGTTTACAGATATATAATCACTATCCTTTCCATTAAAATTTAACATTAACTTCCTGTACAAATTAACAAATTCAAACATCCTCCATTACTTCTTCCTTTATTTGGCTTTAGAGAGAGAGAGAGTATACCACTTGTATTCTCCAGCCACAAATTCACTTGTTTCATATTTGTTAGTTTTATACTTGTCGAATAAGGGAAGGATTCGATCTTGATCAGAAAATGAGCAGATGGTACCTCTCTTGTCTCCATGGCTGTGATTTCTGACACCAAAAGTAGATCAAACAAATTGCATGTCATTCCCTATAAATTTTTAATTTTCGCACTTTACCCCTTCAAAATTTAAGAAAGTAGATCAAACAAATTGCATGTTACACTTGATGCACATTGCCCCAATAGCAAAATTCAAATGGATTATTAATCGGAATTGAGTGTTTTTTTTTTTCATGCTGACCCTTAAAAATATTATTTTTTCACACATTGCCCCTTTAAAATGTTATTTTTGTTGCACCATATATGCCCACCGAAAATTAGCTTTGGGATAAAGTGCAACCAAAACAATATTTCGAGGGGTTAGCTCTTTTCTCAAATTTTAAGGGGAAAGTGCCAAAATGAAAAATTTATAGGGGTGAAGTGTATTTTGTCCATATATATATATATATATATATATATATATATAAGAGAGAGAGAGAGACACAGACAAAAGTACACTTATCGGTAAAAATATATGTTGTACCATGTAATTTAAGAATTATTTTTATTCATTATTAATTTATCTAGTATACGGGGCTTCTTAATATTTTCGAAAGTGTATTATCTTATAAATTTAGCGAATTGTTAATTTAGCACATTTTCTCCGAGTCGGGAATGGAAAAATTTATTATTTTAGCAAGGTTATTAATTTATTAAGTACTAATTTATCGAGGTTCTTCTGTATATCAAATTTTTGAAAAGAGATATATGTGCAGTGATCAGCTATGTCAATCGATTCCCATCTTGGTAGAATTTGGGGTAAGGTTTTGGGAATTAGAAGATGGAAAATTGGGTGTTTTGTAGAAGAGGAATTAATGATTTGTTATATGGAGATAAGAGAGAGATAGAGGAGAGATAATGAGGTGTCGTCCAACTCATCTTCCAGCTCGATTTTGACTGGCAAATGGAAGTCACGTGCGCTGCACGTAACAATTCTGTCTAACTTAATTGGAAAAGTTAACGGCCGGACCATAAGTGTCCAAAAGTGATAAGTTTGAGGACTAAATTCGGAGCGGCAAAACTTTGAGGATCAAAATCGTTTTAGGTGGCAAGTATAGGGACAAAAACTGTAATTATTCCAAACATAGCATGTTGTGAATATTTTCTAGGAGGAGTCTAAATTTTGCATGATATTTGAAGCAGGGCAAGAATTTTTGAGTGATTTAGGGATGAAGCATTGAAACATAAATTCACAGTCTCATTACGTGAAGAATACAATATGCAAGTTTTGACTTCATAATAGCCTCTTTTTGGGAGCTTATAAAGAAAAATCATCTGGTGAATTTATAATATTATACATTTTTTTGTAGTAATTGTAAATTTAGATATTTATTAAAAAAAATATAATTTTATTATACTTCGATAAACGTACAATTGCAACTAAAAAAAATTAGAAAACATTTAACTAGATATGTGCAACGCAAGTGCATCTTCCTAATATGCATAAAATAGAGAAATAAGATCGCGTATTGTTGGCAGAGATGCTATTGTTTATACATTTTCCAATTTCGCAAATATGAATTCGATTAGGGATATAACTTACCGATCTTGCTATTGTCTAAGGACTATTTGGTAATTTCAATTTGCAACTGCATCGTAAATTTGCTTGGATTCTCCAATCTTACCTCCTTATGCGGGATCCACAATCTATTAAACACCGGATCTGAACCCAGGCTGGGGATCCATCTCGGATCCAGATATTATGTACCAAATACCAGCTCCGCCCCGATGATACGATCAATCTTCTCAATTCCAAGAAACCAAAATAACACTTAAAGGATTCTAGAAGATCTTGTAGAATCCTCATTGTATATATTTGGTAGGAAATCGTAGGAGATGCTATAGTAGGTAATCAATACACTATTCATTTTAATCACCCAAGAATCCAAACAATAAAGTATTCTATAGCAATCTCCAACACGATGGGCATTGTTTAGTGATGGGCATTGATTAGTGATTAAGTGCCGCACATTATAGTAAACAAATAATTAGCCCACAAAACAATGACATAATTATCATCCCTAGTATGAACAAAATATTCAAAATAAAAAATAAAATCGAACTAGATTATGGTGTGCGAGCCCAACATCTGGTGGCACAAGATCCTTTAGCGGTGGCCATACAGTGTCACAAACGCTTGCCTCACAAGTGTCGTGAAAAAATATTGTAAACCATTTAGGTCATGATTTATCAAAAAAAAAAAAAAAAAAAAGTAAAAAAACAAAAAATAATATAATAAAAAAATTCAAGACAACGAGAAAACATAGTCCACGACGCCAGCCATAATTTTATTTTTTATTTTTTTAATAATTATTTAAACTGGGAGGGGTTTTTTTTTTTAATTTTCAAACTTAGATCAAACGGTGTTAAGGTCAAAGGTGTGAAAACTAACGGCGAGAGCCACATTGAGACAATTTTTCAAGTACGGGAGGCAAATTGATGAAATTGAGAGAAGGGGTTAAAGTGATATCGAGCCGAAGTACAATGGGGCAAATCGATGCAATTGAGAGTAAAAGTAGGTAAAGTGATATCGAGCCAGATTACAAGGGGGTAACTCGATGCAATATAGAGTAAAATGGGTAAAGTGATAAATATTCTGAAGCTGAGAGTTTAGCCGACATGTTGGAAGGTTGGAATAAAATAATTAAATATAGAAGTTTTGGAAGCTCAACTCAATCAATACTCTCTACTCTTCAATTTTTATTTTCGGGTGATTATCTTGCTTGCAAAAGTAATGCATGGCTGAACCTCTTATTTATACAAATGATTAGGATAATAAATCGCTACAATTTCCAAAACAAGACTCTTGACTTTACTGCATAAAACTCACATACATGAATCTCCACTTTTGATTACTTAGAAACTCTAAATACATTCATTGTCGTTTTGACTCAATTAATTAAAGTTTAATTAAATCTTAGGGTAAATTACACTTAACCCCCTGTGGTTACAAACTTTTGCAGATAACCCTCTTGTGCTCGTAATATCAGTACATAACCCCTTTGTGGTTTATGGGGTAGCTTCTGTTAGTTTTTTTCGACAAGCTTAATCGCCTGTGTCAAACGTTAAAGTATTTTTTTTTTCAAATGACTCCCTTGTACTTTCATTTTCCTTTTCATTTTTGCAGATGATCCCATTGAAGTTTGACACATACGGTTATGTCTGACGGAAAAATTAACGGAAGCTACCCCATAAACCGCAAGGAAACTATGTGCTCATATTAAGAGCACAAGAGACTCATCTGCAAACACGCTTGTAACACAGGGAGGTTAAATGCTATTTATCCTAATTCTTATACACCAAGAGCACAAGAGAGTCATCGCTTAAAAATGTTATTTTTGTTGCACGATGCCCACCGAAAATTAGGTTTGGGGTAAAGTGCAACCAAAACAATATGTCGAAGGGATTATCTTTTTTCTCAAATTTTAGGGGGAAAAGTGCCAAAATGAAAAATTTATAGGTGTGAAGTGTATTTTGTCCATATATATATATATATATATATATATATATATATATATATATATATATATATATATATATATATAAGAGAGAGAGAGAGAGAGAGACACACAAAGACAAAAATACACTTATCGGTAAAAATATATGTTGTACCATATAACTTTAGCGAATTGTTAATTTAGCACGTTTTCCCATAGTCGGGAATGGAAAATTTTATTATTTTAGCGAGGTTATTAATTTATTAAGTACTAATATTTTCGGCTGATTTTATTGCTTGCAAAAGTAATGCATGGCTGAACCTCTTATTTTATACAAATGATTAGGATAATCGCTACAAATTCCAAAACAAGACTCTTGACTTTACTGCATAAACTTACATACATGAATCTCCACTTTTGATTACT